TGCAGCAACATACCCTTATCACTTGCATATAGGGTTTATATTTCTAAGTCGATTCGATACGCAAGAACATGCTCTACGTATAATTTTTTTTAAATGAACTATGTCAAGTAAGTTGATGAAACATGATTATCAAGAGTCTCCTTTATAGTCATCATTTCGTAAGTTCTTTGGTCGATACAATGACATCGTAAGCAAATACAACCTATCTTTTTTTTTTTTCATACAACATACAATTGTTAGACCATTATTTACAATTGAATTGTCTACGGCTTTTTCTGTAATTTTCCGACCATGACAAGGAGCAGACAGTGGGTGTGACCGGTCGCTATGGGCGGAGGATGCTCACTTCTCCATGGGACCTGATCGTACGTCTGATGTTTAGGAGGTCAGTGTTTTCTTTCCTCATTGTACTGTTTGGATTGGATTGGACTTTTGAGCTTGTATACTGTTTGCTCTCTCCATTTATTTCATTGTATTTATTTAAAACCATTGAGCATTGGCCTTGCGTGGCATTGCAATTTTGCGCAGTAGAAATGTGACGTTATGAACGTTAATTTTCCCGCCGTATTGTATTTTGGCCTGTAAAACCATCCGGGATTTGGCGCAGACCGTCTGACTTTGGAGTCCTTAAAAGGTACTTGGACACAGATTTGAAGTTAATATTTTCTCATTTTTCCTGTATAATATCACGAATTATATATTTTAATAGCATTTCACACAAAAATTAATTAAAAATCTTATTTTATTCAAAAGTTATTAAAACTTTAAATTTTTTGGCGGGTTTGATTGACACATCCTTGCACTTTCACAAATTTTAACTTTATTCTTAATCCTTAGGAAAAGTGGCAATTTTGATGTGTTTTAATGAGAAATATTAAAACTTTTATCAAGAAAAATAATTTTATTCAGAGTAGAAATGTTAGAAAGCAAACACCTTCACAAGTATCGTCATTCCGAACTAAGAGATGCGTACAGAGTTTAGCAAATCGTGCACACTCGTGTTATGTACACAGTTTTTGTAAACAGGGCTCGAGTTCTGTTATTATTTATATTCAGAATTCACCGGGTGCGTTCAATTGTCACAGTCTGCTTACCACATCTGCACGGACTGACAATATATTGTGTTTTTGTTTTGCTTTCGAACATATCTACTCTGAATTTTCTGGATTATAGTATTAATATTATTCATTTATACAAAACGAGATTGCCATTTTTCCTAAGGATTAAGAATAAAATAAAATAGTGAGAGTGCAAGGATATGTCAATCAAACCCGCCGAAAAATTTGAAATTTCAATATCTTTTAAACGAAATAAGATTTTTAATTAATTTTTGTGTGAAATGCTATTAAAATATATAATTCGTAATATTATAGAGAAAATAATAACTTCAAATCTGTGTCCAAGTACCTTTAATTACATGTAAATGTATTATTTTTATGTTTTATGTTTCACTTTAATTTCTTGTAGTCAGTAATTCATAAATTAAGCAAATTTGAATCAACCTATGGAATGTAGATGTCGATCATGATTTTCAGAGATTAAATAAGTAGGAAATTATTTTCAGATATTTGTGCAAGTGTTGCGATGAATATTGGACCACTCAACACACCAAATTCATCTTTCCTTTATATTGGCTCCAAGGCTTCTCTCAGGATAACTCTCAATCCTTCAAGAGGCTATTACGAAAACCTAGTAATTTTCGTGAAAACCCCTGGCGAAAATATTGACGTTGCATTGTCTGATTTTCGTCATGTAGGCAATATGGAGTACGAAGTTCGTTATGCTTTCTTGCCTCGATATGATAGTGTGAGATTTTTTGCTTCTAATATTTAATAAAATTGAAAAGGATTTTGATTGTTTTAATAGTAATTATTATATAATATAACCTATCTTTTGACAAGATATTCCTTTACATTTGAGTTGCAGAAAACTTCATCATTTTTTTAAAAGTGTCTGTATCATATTTTGACACTTGCTTTTTAAATCTTTGTTACATGGAAAAGGTAATGTTTTCTTTAAACCATTTTTTTAAAATATAAATAAGAAAAAATGTATTGAAAGCATTTAAGGAATTACCTGTATATAGCTTGATAAGTTATGATTGCCACTTTAATAATAAATCAATTCTACGGAGTTTGCCTAATATTTAAGGACAGTTTTTCTACTGCAATTTCTAATAAACTTCAAATGTTATTTTCAAATTTTAACTGAAGGTGGCTAAATAATCAAAGTTGAGCAATGCATTGACTTTGTTATCAAGTAAGGTGAACTGACTGCAGCTGACATCTAAATGTATGAAAAGGAGGGCTTGTCTAAATATTTTTTAAAATCATTTTCTTATTATATTTATTTTATTTTGGTCACAAAAATGCCCGGTTCTTATAATCTAAAAAAATATATCTCACATAATTGGCTTTTATGTTATATTTATGCACCCGTAAACGAAGTTTTGGGTTAATATAGTTTTTGTCGTGTCCGTCTGACTGTCTAGGTGTCTGTCAGTCTTTCTAGCTGTCAGTTTCCCCGTCTGTCTGTTTGTCCACAAAAACTTTAGCCTTGCTCATAATTTTTGATTTAGTGGAGCTATGACTTTCATATTTCACTTGTGTATTCCTTGTGACAAGACCTTTCTTTGGGTATTACCAAATTAGACCTTTTGACCTTGGAGTTTGACGCACTTTTACACAAAAATTCCAAACTTTTACTTTGGTCATATCTTTTGAACAGTAGATATCAAGACATTTATACTTCACATATGTATTTTTTGTTGAAAAACCTTTCATTGGATAGCAAAAACCTTGACCTTGGAGATTTCATTACTTTTGAAAAAACTGTAACCATGGCCATAACTTTTGAACGGTAAGGGCTAGGGCTTTCATACTTCACATCTGTAATTCTTGTGAAAAGACCCTTAATTGGAGACCAAGACCTTTGACATTGTCCTTGGAGTTTGACCTTCTTTTAAAAAGCAAACCTTGACCATAACTTTTAAAGGGTTAGGGCTAGTACATTCACACTTTACACATTTAATCTTTGTGTTACGACCTTTCAATTGATAACAATAACTTTGAACCCTTGACCTTGACGTTGGAGTTTGACCTACATTTTAAATTTTTTAACCTTGGCCATATAACTTCTGAACGGTTAGGGCTAGGGTTTTCCTACTTTTTATATATATTTTATGTAGCAAGACATTTCATTGGATACCAATAGCCTTGACCTATTGACCTTGACTTGGAGATCTCCTTACTTAAGAAAAAACTTTAACCTTGGTCTTTACTTTTGAAAGCTAAGGGCAAGTGATTTCATACTTCACTTATGTAATCCTTGTGAAAAGACCCTCCATTGCATACCAAGAATTTGACCCATGGACCTTGACCTTGGAGTTAGACCTACCTTTAAAAAGCAAACCTTGATCATTACTTTTAAAGGGTTTGGGCTAGTGCTTTCATACTCTACATACTAAATCCTTGTGACAATACATTTCAATTGATAACAGGGCCTTTGACCTTGAAGTGAACGTTGAAGACATTTTAATTTTTTTAACCTTTGTCGTAACTTCTGAGGGATTAAGTCTAGTGCTTCCATACTTTATGTATGTATTTTTTTTGTGGCAAGACCTTTCATTGGACACCAATGACTTTGACCGTGAGCATTTCCATTAAACTTTGCTTTGTTACCATACGGGGGCATCAGTACTTCACAAACACATCTTGTTTTTCTTTCATTGTTTTTCTCATTGTAGACAGCATTCCAAAGGCAAAAAGGGTGTGGTTATAAGCTGATCAGAACATTTGTGTACTATTCCAATTATTCTGAAAATCAGCTTATTTGTGATTTTTTTGTATATCTGCATAACGCAAAATCCTTAGAAGACAAACAGAATGTAAGCACGAATGCCGAGATTTCGTACACACAGAATGGCATTGAGAAAACATGCCCCACTCATTTCGTCAACTGGACTGTAAGAACATCATTCCTGGTAAGAAGTTTTCCTCGATATTAGTAGAAAAATATCAACAGGTGAGTGCGATGACACCATTCATTTAATTTTGTTACGTATTTTTTTTTTTTATATATTTTTATATGTATTTACATCATGTTTAGCTCACCTAAGCCGAAGCCTCAAGTAAAATTTTCTGATCAAAGAGTGTCCGGCGTCCGTCTGTCGTCCGTTGTCTGTAAATTTTTCACACTTTCTACTTCTTCTCAAGAACCACTGGGCCAATTTTTACCACACTTGCCACAAAGCATTCTTTGGGGAAGTTGATTCTTGTTTTTTCATGGAAAGTGCTACGCCCTTTTTCAATGGGAGATAATTAAGAATTCGTGAAAATTTGGCAAAATCTTCTTTTTCAGAACCACTGGGCAAGAAATAATTACTTATGAAAGCCTCATTGCATACTCTAGAATCAAGTTTGTTCATATCATAACCCCCGGAGGTTGGGAAGGGCCACAAAAGGGACTCGTAGTTTTACAAAGGAATATATAAGATATGCCATTAAACATTTCAAGAAAAGCAAAACCATGATAAGTCATATTATATCAGGAGTATCTTCAGATAGTTTAAATTCAAGTTTGTTCCAATCATGACCCCAGTGCTGGGGATAGTGCAGGTCCACAACAGAGGATCAAAGTTTGCCATGAGATTTCAGAAAGGAAATACCTTTAAAACTATCCTCAAAAATAGATGAGTCATTATTAGTCATATTAATACAGAAGTATAGTAAGGTGATGTAGATTCAAGGTTTTTCAAATCATGTCCCCTGGGGAGGGAAAGGAGCAGGGCAACAGCAGTATGTCAAAGTTTTGCATACGAATTTACAGGTGCAATGGTTAAGGACCATTTGAATAAAACGTATTGAAGACTTCAAATAGTGGAATGATGTCGACCTGACAACTCTTGAATGGACTTGCCAAAGGATATATATAAGGCAAAGCTTTGGAAAAGTTGGGCATTCAGAAGCTAGTTAAAGAAGTTTTAACCAGATACCAGTGCACTGACTCAAACATTTCTTTAAATTGATAAATTTTGTCTTTCAGTGTTATTTTTTAATGTTATATTGTTGTTGTTGTTTTTTTCTTGGGGTGGGGGGGGGGGGGGTGAAGCTGTGCTTTAACAAAATCAAAAAACTTTGAAGTGCCTTACTCTCATCATTACCTTACTAACTTTTCAAAGTTTTGAACAGTTTCCCCACAGATCATCACGTGATGCTGATTCTCAATCATTTTGTAACGTGGGGGACCAGAGTGATCTCCTTAGGCCCTTACTTGGTTAATGTCCAAGTCTTATGAGGGCAATAATAATGCAAAACATACATATCAAAGTATTAAATATGTTTTAAAATAGTTGACACTAGTCCGGGCGGTGTATAATAAAAACAATATATACTAATATCCCTGCCACTTTGCTATTGCTATACTTTGCATTAACCAGCGAAACTTGGCGCCATTTGGCTAAATGAACACTACTTTGCAATGCTCAACTCTATAGTTATTTGGCTAATCAAGAGTCACTAGGATATGCTATAACCATTTGGCTTACACAAAATCTACCTTCCATACCTGACAATCGGCAATAATATAACCCCTTGGGTTATACAAAGAACACTTGCTAATACAAGTACCTGCCACTTGACTATATAAAGACCACAGGGTAGTTCTAGAGACTTGGCAAAACAAATGCCAGTCGGTAATATTATAACCCCTTGGCTTAAACAAACGTCACTTGGTTATACACGGCAACTGGCTGCACAAGTTTTGGTCAATTGACGATGACGGGAAATATTTTCAATACCTCTATATCAGGTCTGGACGATTTTCAAATATGAAAGTCAAGGGCGATAACCGTAAATTGCTATAAATACACAGAATATACAAGAAGGTGATAATCCTTCTGATCAGATAGCGGCATTCACTACGTATACAACGGGTAACGTTGGGGAGTCGCTAAAAAGTATTGAGGGTCGTTTTCAACGTATACGTACTAGGGAGTAGATTATTATCGAGTCGGAGTCAAAAGAGATGTTGGTCACGTCTTTTTTCGGTATATGTAAGGTGTGAAAGTTGACATAGACAGGTTTCGAGGTCAACATGCTCTTTGTCGGACAGAAGAACCAAACGCGTTTGCCTTATATGCTGTTAGGCCGAAGTCAAAAAGTTTTGTTCGAGTAATCGCCAAAACGCGCTTTTGTCCGAGAACACAATTGACAAATGAATTGAGATACCTTTAACTGTTTATTATGAAATCATCGTGATGACATTTTTGTTCACCCGCAGTGTACTTTGACATTGGTCACATCACAAGCTACAATTTTTAGGTTTCTTGATATTGAATCTATATCATCGTCACATTTTGCATTTCTCAACGTTGTTCATACATGTACCGTCAAAGTTAATGCGAGTTTTTCTAAAGTTAGACTTCATGATTTTTAAATACGATATAGTATTTTGAGGTTGCGCCACATTGTCATTCCATTGCTTCCGCGAACATTGATAATTAATTCAAAGTGTAAAAGTAAAATCTCTTTGCTGCATTCTTGAATAGTTTTGATTTATGGCACTAGTACACGAACTTTTCAATAACCCTCGGATACTAGATTGTAGAAAAAATAAGAAAGGAGATCCCTCCTCCTCGATACGTTACGCATTATAACACGAATTATTTTTTTTTAACCTACAAAAAAGAGCTCAATGGGTTTCGTACAAATATAATTCTGATTCAGCTTTTCTGCAACAAACGTTGGAAGCACCTTTATAATACATGTCTACTCCGTGAAATATATTTTAAAATTGTTATTCCTGGGAAGGGCAGGGTCTGAAGCTCTTATGATGTTAAGTGCTATAAAATTCACAAAGAAAATATTCAAATAACATGCTCTCTTTCGGACTATATTCTTTAGAAGAGTTTATTTATGTAATGTGCGAAGGAAAGTGGCCTATAAAAATTGAAGCCCTTATTCTCCCCACCCCCTTCCTCCATATCATAGTATTTATTTCTTCGACTTTATGTGTTACTGCCTAAGGGTATCTAATCTAAAATGCTGATTTTTTGGGAATTTGCCACTGCTCATCCGTGCTGTATCCATATCAAATGTACATGTACAGCTGTAGTAATGTATATGAAGTACTGGTATACATGTATAGCCATGCACTTCACAATAGGGAACGATAAATATATGTTTTTATTCTTACTTGTACATATTGTTTACATTGATTTTCATCCATGTTACATTTTAGGGGACGACCATTTGATCCTGAAGGGGGGGGGGGGGGCTGGCAAATTTTTTCGAGACGGATTATTTATTTTCATGCCTGTCGAGGACAGATTATTTATTTTCAAGATTATCAAGGACAGATTATTTATTTTATTTTCTTCTATGTCTTACCGTACCTTGATCAAATGATTCTAAAAGACTAATCATTTATATACCATATTCGGATACAGGATTTGGGGAGGGGACAGGTATAACTTTTTTTCGGCAAGAGGTCTGGGGCCGCCGTAAGGGCTCCAGTGGGTCCTGGGCGAAGCCCTGGTGGAGGCCAAGGGAGTAACCCCCCCCCCCCCCAAAGCTCTTGGGGTTTCGTGTATTTTAAGAGTAAAACCAGGCACTATTATAGTGGTATTGGTTTTTATGTTATGAACCAATGTATGATACAATTAATACTGGTCATACCGTACTTTGAATGAAGTAAGTTTAGGGAGCAAAGCCACCTGAAGCTCTTGGGTTTTTTTCAATATGTATAAAAGTAAAACCTTTGTAGGAATTGGTTAGATGTGTACCAAAGTATGACATTATTCAGTCATATCATACTTTGAATGAAAAGGGCCCAGGGGGCTTCAGCTCTTTGGTTTTTGTGTATTTTAAGAGTAAAACTAGGCACAAAAATATTGGTATTGTCCCAAAATATGGCATTATTATTATGATTATTAGTATCATACTTTGAAATTTTAAGGGAGGGCCTGGGGTCGTACACATGTACGTCCCCCTTAAATCTGCCAGTGTATATTTTGTATTAATTTATCTGGAAAGTATAATTATTCGACAAGAAAATTTATCTTTTGTGGTGTATATGAATTGGTTTGTATTTAAAGTTATTCATCACACCTACTAAGTACACATTGCCATGTTGATAAACTGACTACAAGTATCCAGTCTGGTAATCTGATTTCAAATACTATTTGGTTCTAAAATGGCGAGCTAAGCGAGCCAAAAAAAAATTTGAATTGAAGACTTTTGGGATTAAATTAAATGTAAATAAAAAAGGTATTTTTACAATATTAAATTATCAGAAGTCATGGTCAGATTATTTATTTTCTCTGTAGTGGAGGACAGATTATTTATTTTCAACATTTTCAGGGACAGATTATTTATTTCCAAAATCTGCCAGCCCCCCCCCCCCCCCCTCCCCCCTCAGAATCAAATGGTCGTCCCCTTACTAAATATATAAAATCATCAAAATAAATATGAAAGAAAGCATTAAGCAAAGGAAAAGTCGATATTTAAAATGATAGTACTATTTACATCTTATTGTGCGACTCCCCAATGCGTTGTGTTTTTCAAGAAACTACTCCCCACTATGTAATAATTACTGTCTGAAGAGAAAATATCTTTTAAATTATTAATTTTATCATGTCTCGACAAGTTTTAATTGTTGCATTTAAAAGATAAACGTTTGCTTTTGCTTGAGTGTCGGAACCCCTACATAAGCCGGAGATTGTGCAAACCATAAATGTTTTGTCCACTCGTTCAACGTTAATATGAAATCTTTCGAATAGTTTGGGAAAACTGGACATATATGATAGCCGGACAAATGAACAGGATAAAGCTTAACTATTGCTACCTACTATTTGTTTTTTGTAAATACATCTTACATATACCGAAAAATGACGTGACCCATATCTCTTCTGACTCTGAAGCAGTGAAAATCTACTCCCCCATACGATGAAAATTACTCCTCCATACTTTTTAACGACTCCCTCGAGTTACCCGTTTTGTATACATTGACTTATATAAACCTATGAGAAAATAAATAAAACACGAGGGGTTTGAGAGTTTTGCTCAAAAGATTTTTTTTAGACATACTTTTTGTAAATTTCATGCATATTCAGGAAAAATAAAAATAAATAAAAAATAAAATAAAATATATTTGACAATTCTACCCTGAACAAACACAAATTGAAAGATAAAATAAATTCTAAGTGGGATTAAAAATCTGTCACAATACAAGGTAGCAATTCAAAAAGTTTAACTTGTGTAAAGAAATTTGATATAGATACGGAAGATTTTCAGTTTTTAGAGCCTGACATAAACATGTTTTCGTATGGATAACAGTATTAATTATTTCTTGAGTGTTTATTAAAAATTCGGATATGCTGTTTCTAGTATTAGAGGTAAGATAAAAAGCATTCATGTATAAGCAATTCGCTGTGTTTTGTTTATACAAAGCCAACTGTGAAATTGATTTGAAAATCATTTTTGTTTATACTCACGCGTAGAAATATACACGGAGAAACGTGATTTAACGTGACGTCACAATAAGGCTACAACGACGTTGGAAAAAGTGTAAGGATATAGAACAGCGCATCCTCACAATGTCAAGGGTATGTGATTTCTCGAACTCCATGGAGGAGTGAGCATCCTCTGCTTATCGGTCACATCCGCTGTGTGCTCCTTGTCATGATCGGGAAATAACGGAAAAAATCCATCGTCAATTCAGTGTATATATTATGGACTAATCAGCATTTGACTCAATGATAAATTGTTTTTGCTGACAAGGTCATTGTATCGACCATAGAACTTACGAAATGATGACTTTAAACGAGATAAATATATACTCTGTATACAGGTAATGAAGGTAAATTGCTATATAAGTAAGAGACGATAGGAAAAAAGTTAAATTCATCACATTTATCATTTAGGTTGGTTTTTAGATTACCATTAACGTCTTTTTCAAGCAAAATATCCAAGTATGAAACAGATGAATCAGACTCCGTGAT